TAGGGCCCTATTATATTCCGTTTATACCACTATTACAGGGTGGGGCAGCTTCTAAGGCATGTCGGGTTAAGGCTTGGAATTTAGAAAGTAAGTTTAAGGTTGGAAGACTTAGGGAGCAGGGTTCGTGCTTAGGGTTTAGGGTTGAGTGTTTCGGGTTTGGGGTCTGGGGTTTGGGATTTAAGATGCCTTCGGAGAGGGCTTCCTGCAGACACGGTTCCTGTCTTGAAAGTCCGTCACAAAGGGATCCCCTCTTCTAACCCTCATTCAAGGACTGAATTTTTGTTAATCAGAGGCTTGGCGCTTCGGGTTGGCATTTCGGGTTTGGGGTTAGCGTTCTTCAATTTTGCGATCGGCTACACGGACGATGCCTAGGTACTTAGAACCCTGCTTACTAAGTCCCATGATCCTCCAAGTGCAGAAAGTAGCCAAAGCTGCGATCGTCCAGTCCGATTACGTTTCGAGGTTGCAGTCAGACCATATACGGTACTCTTCACATTCAAGACAGTGCCGGCCTTCGAAGAAAGGCTTCTGCCAAATCGTGCCGGTCCTCTGGTTTCCCGACCGTCTCGCTAATGCGATGAGCGCGAACACGGGGCACCAAGTACGGCCAGTGCAGCTGGTCGCCGAGGAAGCCACGCAAGACTGGTTGCTCTCACAAGGTCTGGCTGCGCGATGCAGAGACCGAGGGGAGCCGACAAAGCCGTAAAATTTCCGATGTGACTTTGAGGGCTTCGTGGCTAGACAGCGGGGTTCAGAGCTTGGACTTGATGGTGCAAGGTGTTTCGTTTACGGCTGGGTGCTTCGCGAGCTTTTTGTAGTGAATGATGTACAACTTTTTTGGCTGAGTGCTAAACCCCAAACCGCTTCAGCTGGAGTACCCCAAACCATGACGAAGCCCCAAGCTGCCGCCAGATGTCACGACATGGGCCTCTTTGGTTTAGGCCTAAGCCCGTAAGCCTCTCAATTCCTAAATCCCTAAACCTCTAAATCCCTGAACCCCGAATCCGTAAATCACATGGGCCTCCTAACTTGGATGTTAGTGTCAACCCTAAAACCCCGAAGGGTTTAGGTTCAGGGCTAAACCCCTAAGCCCCTCAATCCCTTACGCCCTTAGCCCTAAACCCCTGAATCCCTAAATCCCTAAACCGCTCAATGCGTATAGAGCACGGCTTCGGGTTTTCAGAAAGAAGTCGGGTTTCCAACTTTTAGGCTTCTGCTGTAAATGCGCAAACCCCTACGCCCTACACCCGCAAGCCTTCGGAACCGAGCCATCGCTGGGGTCGGAACTCCTGCTCACAGAAAACTGGACTTTGAAGTAACCAGGGAGAAAAAAGGATAGACTTCTATATCATAATGGTTCCTTTAAGGAACAGGTACCAAAAAAAAGGTATTCAAGTGTGGTACTCCAAACCCAGGAAAAGCTTCCAAGATGCTTCACTTACGGCTTAGGGTTCTGTAGAGGCTTGAGGGTTTAGGGGTTCAGGGGTTCAGGGCTTTAGGGTTTAGGGTTTCAGAAGAGGTTTAGGGTGGGGCTCAGGGTCTATAGGCTTTAAGCGTATGTGGGAACCCAAGACCTAAACACCTAAATCTTAGGTACGGCCCCCATACAGTAACAGTCTATAATAGGGCTACTATTAAGGTCCTACTATATCTATATTATGAATATTATTCAACTACTACTGAGTGGGGGCCGTACCTAACCTAAATCCCTAACCCGTGAACTCCAAAACCCGAGAAACTTCCGCGATTGTGGAAGCCTCTTGGGAACCGATATGGGTGGTTGTCAAGATTATGGCCCCTATTTGGGTCCCGATTAAAAGACGGCACCGAATATTTAGGGTACCCAAAAAGGGACCTTAACTTTTACAACCACCCATTCAATAAGCCGTCGCAAGCACTATGAAGCCCCTGCAAACCCGAACCCCAAAAACCCCAAAACCTTTAATCGCACCAGTCCACTACCCCCCAAACCCTGTGAAACTAGTTATGGCCCCTGTATTGTAACCCTTTATAGTGTTTCGACTCGGACCCTTTACAAGAACCCTCTTCCGGCGGCCATAGTAAGCGCAAGGGATTTGGAATCCTCCAGATCGTCGCCCAGCTTTTCCTTCACCAGAGGTGAGTGCTTGAGAACGTGGCGGTAGTGCACCCAAATCTCCGTGCCCGACGGCACCTCGAATGTATTGAGGGTTTAAGGTTTGAGGTTCCAGGTTTAAAGTTTGGTCTAAGGTTTGGCTTTGAGGAAGTTGGGCTCGTTGGATATTGATTGAGCTAATTTCCGGTCTTTCCTCACAGTTCTGTTCTGTTCCCGCTACTTCGTCGTCTCTCACAACAGACCCGAAGCCCTAAACCCTAAGCCCCAAATGCCGATAAGGCTTTGGCAGCTGATCGCCATAGTACGATGCACTGTTGTCGCCTAAGTGCCATTCCACGGCAAGCCCTTAACCCTGAATTACCCAGAGCCTCCAAAACCCCTTAATTCAGGAATATACCTTCAAATATAATAGGATCCCTTATATGATTTAAGGTATATTCCTTAATTAAGGGGTTTTGGAGGCTCTGGGTACCAGACGCTGAGCCCAACACCCTTAAACCCCACACCCCATAATCCCAAAATCCCTCGAAACCCTGACGTCCCAAAGATCCCAAATTACAAACCCTGAAACCCTGAACCCCTAAATCCCTCGAAACCCTAAGCCCCCAGAGCAAAATTACTTGGAGGTTCATGAGTAGTTGTAAGTGGAGTTATAAGACTACCCCTAAACCCGACAGAACCCTTAAAGGAACCCTTCAAGGAACTCCAAAACCCCAGTTATACCTACCCATGAAGCTCCAAGTAGGCTTAGAGTCACGCCCTAAACCCTAAACCCTAAACCCTAATCCCTACCTTAACCCGGAATAACCTACCTGTTTAAGGACTTACACAAGGAAATCAGAATAAGGAACCCGAAAATAGGTAGGTTCTTGAGGGTCCAGGCAAACCCCACCCACAGGGCCAGGGGGCTGTGCGGCCAGCCAGCTCCATCGGCTCCTCGTCGGGGTCTAGGCGGCTTGTAGAAATGGGTGGTTGTCAAAATTAGGGCCCCTTTTTGGGTCCCTAATACAGTACGGCACCTAATGTGTAGGATACCCCAAAAGCACATTGTATGACATTGTACAGGGTTTAGGGTTTGCGGTTCATTTGGGATTTACGCAAACACTTGCAAGTGAACATGCTTAGGGCTTAAGGTTTAGGTTTTAGGGCTTAGGGTTTAGGGTTTGGGGTTTGAGAAGCTGTGTAGGGTTTGGTGCCCAAGAAGTCTTGGCCGAAACGTGCTGACCGAAAGCCTGGCAATTTTGGTGTTTGGTGCAGGTCGGGAGGGCTCGGCTGGAGGCTGAAACCCTAAACCCTGCACCCTAAAGTAAAAGCCAGAAAGTTGGAATATGATTATCCTAAACTCTTTATGGTAAATTATAGGGTATCCTACCCTGAAACCATATTCCAACTTTCTGGAGTTCCCTTTAAATCCTAAACCCTACACCCTAAACCTTAAAGGGCAGCTAGGGGTGGGAGCTGCTGTGGGGCTGAGGGCTGGCCGGGCTGGGCTGGGCTGACCTTGAAAACAAAGGAGGTTGAGCCAAGAGCCTTGGACGGCGAATACCTCATCGGGGTGAAAAGGGCCGTGAAAAGCAATCATGATTTGGAGATTCATGCGGGAGTTAAAGTGGGATTATAAGTACGGTAACTATGGTTATAACCATATTAGGGGACTTAGAACCCTACTTTTAACTACCCATGAACCTCGAAGTAGTATAGTGGCCACAATCGTAATCCTAGATACTACAAATCACACTTAAATTCTTTTGGAGGGCTTCGAATTGAGGGATTTGGGTTTTGGGCTTGGGTTCTTAAGGATTAAGGCTTAGGGCTGTAGGGCTTTGGGATAGGGCTTGGGATTCTAGCTTGAGGGTCTACAGTAAGGTTGAGTGGGGTATTAGGCAAAGCCACTTAAAACCCGTAAACAAACTCATAGAACCCTGAAAACTAGGATACGCAGTAACCTAAGAATAAAAAGGCCTCTCTTTTTGGTATTTGGTAACTTTATAAGGAACCTAGGACTACAAAAAGGAATAAGGGTACTACTGGAGAACCCTGAAAATGAAAAGGAAGCTTCTAGACACCTCATGAAGCCAGTCTGCACCTCCGAGCAGAAGCTCATAATACAAGGGCCTTAGGGGGCATATTATATTATAATATAGATATAATCATGAACGCCCAAAATAATATAGGTAATTACTAAGGCCCCTATAGTAGAATCCTTACAACACGTTCAACAGCCGCTCAATCATTCGACAAGGCCCACAGAGGCCGCAACAAACAGGTACCCTTTTTCTTGCAATTCGGTTTGAAAAAGGGAACCCTAAAACAAAAAGGACAAAAGAGGTACTACTGAGGAACCTAGTGGACCCTAAACCCCTATAGATCCCTTATAGAGCCCTTTAAGGATCCCTTATAGAAGCCGTTAAGGAACCCTTTAAAAAGAACCCCAAAACCCGAACCGCCCTAACCGCTGGAAAAGCTTTAGCAGCAAAGAACTGGCAGTCGGTTCCTGGTTGGTGAAGAAGTCAAAAGGGGCTATGCCGTTCCTGTTGCAGTTTAGGGAGGGTTTAGGGCTTTCAGGGTTAAAGGTTAAGGGTTTAGGGTTTATCTTAATGTGCAATGGCCCTTTCTCCGCAGCGACCGGGTCTAGGGTTTAAGGTTTAGGGTTTTTTAGGGTTTTAAGGTTTTTCTAAGCATTTGGGGCTGAGGTTTGGGTGCATTGGTTCGGCCTGGGGACTTGGGGTTGTTCGGGCTTAGAAGTTTGGGGTTCTCTTACGGCCGTGGGAGTTGTTCACGTGCTCAACTGTGCTGGTCGCGCAAGACAAATTCAACATGCCATGGCAAAAGCGCTGCTTACAGGCGCGCCATGCGTGTGGTTAAATATCCACACGTGAGAAGGAAAAAGAAGCCCGCGACACCGTCAGCCGTCCTGTGCTGGCGTCAGCATCGTCCACCATGGGCGTGGACCGGCGGTCACCATGCTTGGTCTCCAAGCATGTGCCCCCGTTTCACACTTGGCAGGTGTATCACGAATGTCTGCATGGTCGTAAATGTGACGGCACCGTGCCTGTGTTTTCAGATGCTGGGCTAATCTAGCCCGCGTCCAAAATTCTACACAACATACTTCACAACGCGAGCCCACTGCGCAAGCCGCTGGGAGGGATCGGATCCCGTGCTTATGCGCTCTATGCGCTCCCACAGCCTTGTGGGTAGAGAAAGCACATTGGCAGTGGTCGCAGTGCCAGGGCAGGAGGGTGCTGCTGGCCGCCGTCACCTCGACACCCTCGCAGGGTGGCCTTTGTCGGAGAGTTGTGCGGTCAACGGCTCGTCCCTGAACGGCTGTGGCAAGGTAGCGCCTGCAGGCCGCCTTCACCTTGGCATTATCCATGCTGGCAGAGCGGATGATTTCCGCAAAGTCATCAGTGCTTGCCTTGTGGATACCGACAGCCTGTAGGGCAGTGCAGGCATCCGACCACCATGTGGAGTCCAGGTGGAACTCCGTCAGGACGTCATGGTGAGCTGCTCTGGCGAGCTGACAGATAACCCGAGTCCGCTCGACGTGAAGGAGCTCCTCCGGAAGAGGAAGCTCCAGGATGCCGGCAATTTCAAGGCTAGAGTAGCCCCGGCTCGAGATGCCGACCAGCGGCTGGAACGCGCCTCTGTAGAAGCTGTGGAGAGCCTCGGCCACCGCATCGGATTCCCTCCGAGTCCGTATGGTCCATAGCCCCGAGCCATACAAAAATCGGCTGATCACGCGGCTTTTTAGCACCAGCTGCTTTTCGGAGAAGCTAAGCGCCGGATTGCGCAAGATCCTCACCGGCAGATATACCTCACGTGCCAGGCTTTTTCGCCGGAGTATGTCTGGCAGAGCTTGATTGTCGGCTTGTGCCAGAAACCCTAGATAAGGGTAGGTCTGGACCAGGCGAATATGAGCGGGGCCATGGCGTGTGGCAAACTCTATCTGCGGTGACTCGGTGCCCAGCAGATCACGTCGGGCCTGTCTGGACCCTGCCCCGTGTAGGGCCACCAACGCCTCGGTTTTCCCCATCCCATGGTTGGCGCTCATGCCTGCCGCCAGCAGCTCTTCGGTGAAGAACTCCATGGCCTGGGACACGGCAGTGGTAACCTGGCTGGCAGCCGTCGTTCGCACCAGGATACTCACGTCGTCCGCCCAAGTCGGCGTAAAGCCAGGCTTGGAGGCATCAGCGCGGGTAAGGCTGGCATGGTATCCTGCTGAGATGAGGAACTCCCTGGTGCGGCGGAGTATGCCCCCGAAGATGATGGAGAAAAGGAGGTCCGCAAGTGGCGCTCCAGGAACCGTGCCACTTCCCGCGACGAAGGCGGAGTCCGCATCATGGCGACTGACATACCAGGTAAGCTCAAGCTGCTTTTGGACGTAGATCCGCAGCTCCTCATGGTCGGCAAAAGCGGCGGCAGCCATGTCCTCACGAGCCATTGCCACAAATCGCTCCTGTAAGTCGGGCTCAGTGAAGAGCATGGCTGCCCGGCGGCGGAGGAATGCATCATCGCAGCGCTGCTGCTTCGTGAGGGACAGGAAATCTCTGGTGATGGTGTAGTAGGCTGCAGTGGCGTCTATGAACAGGATGGCCCCCGACGCCCCGGTGCGGCGGAGCTGGAGAAGGTGCGCCTTGACAAAGGAGGCCGGGTGGCTGAGGGGAACCCCTGGCCTGCCGCCAAACTGATCGGCAGTGCCCAAAGTGGGCAGGAGGCTGAGCAAGCTGTCCCGGTGGGCAGTCTGGCAGGCTTTATTGTCACATTCCAGGAGAACGATGGACCTGAACCCGTTGTGAGCCGTATGCGGTTTGCCTGGCTTTGGCACTGCGATTGCAATGCCTCCGGGGGGGTCCGTTCGGAACACCTCTGGGCACAGACCCGAGATTCCCGGTGCGCGCCCTCTCTTGAGAGAGCAAATCCTGACGCCAGTCCGGCCAAGGAAGGGAGGGACTGTCCGCGGAGTGGGGCCGCCGGGGCCTGGACCTGGGTGTCTGCCGGGAATACATGTTAAATTGGCTGTTCAAAGAAGCGGCCGAAACTATCTGCCGTATCACATCGGCCGAATGGCTGCGGGGTCACATCCGAGAGGCTCGGCAGCAAGGCAAACGGCTTGTAGCGGCGACCCGTTCGGAGGATAGCCCGCAGTCTGTGGGCGAAAGCGGCTGGCCCATCCGATCGGGCTTGCTGCAGCATGCGCCGTGTGAAGTCGGCCCTGTCCGCCCAGAGTGCGGCGCGTAGCTGCTTCCCTGTGCGGTACTGGTCGTCCGGTCAGTTCGGAGCAAGCGCGGCCTGGTGGCCGTTTTGTAGGCCCAAGCATGCAGGCAGAGTTGCAGGTAAGCTCTGTCAGCCACACTCTGTGCACGTCGGGTACACCTGCGGAGGTGGCGATGCAATCTGACCAAGTCCAGCGTCGGCTGAGTGATAGCAGGATTGTGCGGCCGGGGCGGCCGTTGTGGCGTAGCACAGGCAATTTGGGTATGCATGTGTGCCTGGATCCGATCAACATGGGCCGTGCCTTGTTCAGACCATTGGACGACAGGACAGGTGATGGCTGCTGTGGTGACCAGTGCGCTGGCGCCATCGTCCTGCCAAAGGCGTGGATCTATCGTACACCGCTGGCCCCTGGGAGACCCATCCAGCGTGAGCTCGATCCGCAGGAGGAGCGGCTGGTGGTCGATGTCCTCGTATAGGTCGCCAAGCTTCGGCGATTGCAGCAGGGTGCAGCAGGATTGCCAAGCGGTGGGGAAGGCGATGTAGTCAATGGCCTTCTTGACTCCAGCCGGACTGATCCAGGTGACCACCGGCTCTCCATCGGGATATGCCTGTGGTGTTAGGGCGAGCTGCCTTGAGTCAGCAAACTGTCGCAAGTGGCCGAATTGCCACACACCGGTTGGGCAGCCAGGGTGTCGGGATCATCGGGGTGTCTCTGGAATGTAGCATTAGCGTCCAAGAAGAAGATTGGGAGGCATTTGGAGGGAGTGCGGTGTAGCACGACCCCCAAATGTTGCCACCAGTCCTGGAGTTTGTCTGCAGGGGTCGTCGCCGTCATTGCATGTGCGGACACCAAGAGGACGCGGGCCTCTTGGTACTGCCCCAAGACAATCAAGATCTGCGGCTCGCAATGCAGGATTGAGAAGGCCTTAGGGTCCCATCGATCTGTTTTTCTGACCCAGATCTGTGTGCCCCCTTGGCCCGAATCTGAACAGGAACCGCTCAGGACCCAGAATGCACCCGTGGTAGAGATGCCGTCCCTGTGGAGTCCAGTTTCTTGGATCCCAGCGATATCGACCCTTGCCTTGTTCAGGCCTTTCTCAATCAACTCCAGGGCACCTGGGGCCTTGAGTGAGAGGGCATTGTACTGTAGCAAGCGCCAGCAGACCGAGATGGGCTTGGCCTCTCGCACGCTCTGGGTCATGCAAAAGGGTCGGCAGGGGAGTTTGGATGCAATGGCGCAGCTGGCCGCCGTCCAGGTCCCGTTTGGCTGCAGCGGCGGCATGCGCGCGTCAATGGCAGGGTGCCGCGGCACCAGCCATAGGGCATCGACTACCCTCTCGTCTATAGCCGCCCATAAGGCTTCAAAGGTGGAGTCCAGGTGAGCGGGTTCCCCAAGTCGGCCTACCGCCTTGGCGATCTGGTCAGATAAATCATTGAAGGCGCCCGATGTGGACCTGAGGGCAACCGGTGGCAGCTGCCACGCAGAGAGCATGCAGGATTGCCTCTAGCTCCCCGTCGTATGCAGCGTCTAGTCTGTGGAAGCTGTGCTGGGCATGGGCAGCTCCACGTGCCAGCACCGGCCCCAACGCGGACAATGCGCCATCCCTGCCGTGCAACGACAGACACGGCCCATGTAGAGCCTGTGCCTCCCGGGAAAAAGGATCCGTCTGTGAAGAGAAAAAGTTCATCGCATCGGGTCCCAGGGTCCCATTCAGGAAGGGTAAGCCAGTGGCTTAGTGCAGTAGAGTCAGTGACCCCAAAAGCCTGTGGCTCAACTGCAAAAGACGCTAGGCTATGTGCCGCAAACGTCGCCTCAGCAATGTCCTGGTTGACACCCCAAGTGATGGCAGCTGGCGGGGAGGCAATCAACCGGTCCAAGTAGAGGGTGCACGGCTGAGGAGGCATGGCCAGATCATGGGCAGCAGAGGTCCGTGCAGGTCCCTGAGCCAGGGAGTTGCAGCCCGACTGCAAAGGACTGGCGGCCTCGGTGTGAGCGTGGACTCGGGGTGAGGGCCGGGTCGGCGATCGGCCGGAAGGTTCGGCGACCGAAAATGGTGTAGCGATGGTGTGCGAGGCAGCCGCAGCACCGCTTTCCTAGGTGGTCAGCTCGGCCACTTCCGGACAGGCAACCCGGCCCCGAACGCAGCCGCATTCATCCTGTAGGTCCTGCGCCACAAGCAACTCTCTGCACCGGCGTTCCTGCTTGGCTCTGAGGTCAAGAAGTTGGACCAAGGAAGTCCCACGCTGGAATGCTCTAGCAGCCTGCTGGTGCTGGGTATTGGTCAATGGCACAGTGCGCTTGTGGCGGAGAGCAGAGCCTTGCCGAACATGCGGCGGAAACACCAGGTGAAAGCCCCGCCGGACTGGGAGGTCAAGAGCCTGTGGCTGCGTTCCAGGCGGCAGCCATGGAAAGTAGGAGCTGGCACCAGGCCCAAGTTGGTGGTCCCGGGTGGGATCGACAGGAACAGAGGCGCATGTTGGTGAGTGAGCTCGCAGGTATCTGCAAAAGTTGTGCCATGTGCGAACAACCCCGTGGCTGTCATCGCCTCCATAGCCTCCTGGAGGATGGGGGTAATCCTGCCCGGCACATATAGCAGGGCCGGCGCATGGTTGGGGCCCTGGACAAAAACCGGTTGCGTGTCGGCTGCTGGCCGTCCCATTGCATCCGCCTGCTGCGCAAGTCTGGTCTGGAGGTATCGCAGGAACGCATCCCTGACCTGTGTCTGCACTAGCTGATTGAGGGGCTCAGCCGTGGCTCGCTGCAAGCGCGGGACCTCAATGGGGAAGGCAAAGCAGCGCAGATCGGGCAACAGTTGGTAGAGCCAGTCGGTTGGCGCAACCCTATGCTCTTTGGGCCGTTGGATGACCTGTGCGTAGTCACCGGTGCAAAGGTTTCGCCGAACCGCTGCTTGGGTGACACCGTTGATTGCTGCAACGTAGCCTTGCCTGGCCTGTGCATCACCAACCAATTCCTCCGGCCTGGAGCGGGCATCCAGAGAGACGGACCCCACCATGGATCCATCAGCTGAGGGGTCAAGGACTACATGGATTCGATCGTCCTCAGGGAACAGCGTGAAGACGATCGTAACATGTTGCAGCTGTCTGGGGTGAGGCTGTGCCGAGGCAATGACAATCCGAGAGCGCTGTGGCAGTCGCCTTTGTCGGGCAATGGCCATGATAAGGTCAGCAATTGAGCTTGCCACGTTGGGTTGGCTCAAGGGCTGCGGGTGCAGCCTAATGGTGATGCCTAGCCCCACAAGCACCATAGAGACGAGCTCGACTCTCTCAAGGCCAATTGTGTGCGTGGTGGTAACTGTCCATAGCCTCAGCCCTCAGGTCAGCGAGCCTAAGCCACTGGAGCTGGGTGAGGTCGGCAGGTAGCTCTTCCCACACATTGCCCTGAGCATTAGAGCCCTCCCAATTGGCAGAGTATGGGCCGCTGCAGGACCCCAAGGACATCGGCCTATGGCTGCATCAACGACCTCACCTGCCTGCATGCCTCCTCTGAGCAAAAGCGTGCACGGTCGACCCCCGACGGGCCGAAGGTCCAGAGGGACACATAGCTCGCCCGGGGCTGCGTCTGCTGGCGTAAGCACCAGCTGCGGCACCGCTAGGTTAGGCATGTGATTCGTGATCAGCTGAACAATCTTGATCGGCTCGTCTGCGGAACGAATGGCCTCTGAAACAAGGTCATTGAGGGACCATCCGTAAGCCGCAGTGCGTTGAGAGTGGTGTCGCTGCCTGTCAAAGACAGAGTACTTGAGCAAGCGCCTGGCAGGGCTCGGCTCGAGGGCGAAAAGCCCAAGCTGGTCGACCGGTATTTCGTTGACTGGGTATCGACCAAGGTACTCTGGGAGGAAATTGATCCGGTTGAGCCCCAGCTTGCTGAGGTCAGAAGGTCGAGCGGGGCCCATTTTTCCAAGAAGTCCTGGTGTCACCTCAGGGCTGGGCTGTCCTGGAGGGAGTACCTTGGGAACCGCCGTCGGTAAGGAAGTCCCTTGATCCTTGGTCTCGCAAGGCAGCATGCGAGATTCGCAGGCTGCGGTGCACGCAACAGGCGGCACACGCTGTGGTGGATGTAAAGTGGGCCTCCTGGCAAGGAGGGAATGGCAGAAAGGGTGTCGGAACAGGGGCGGAGCGCTGGCCAGGGTGGCGCAGGATGTCCGGGTAAAGGCACGGCAGGTGGACAGGTGCAGTGCTGGGCTCATCCCGCACATGCTGCGACAGGGAGTGCTTGCAGGCAGTGTCAACCTCCGGGTTCGGAGGTGAGAGCGGCGCACGTTGCCTGGCGAGGCACGGGGGAGGAAGTTTGCATGGTCGTGCGGCCCGGTGGTGGCCCGGAACATGTGGGTTGAGGGGGCGCCCTGGCTCCACGTAAGAAACCCGCGACTCAAAAGAAACACGCCCTACTCCGAAAGCGTCACTTCTATGTACAGTATTATACAGGGCTGGCCTCAAGGGACGGCTCGAAGCTGCTCGTGGAGCAATCAGGATCGCTTCGCCCACTGCGTCAGAACCAGTGTCCGCGTCACCCATGTGGCCACTGGTCTTCTGGAAAGTGGACGAGAGCGCATGCTGAGTACTCCGGTCTGCAGCTGCGCCGAGCCCTGGGTCACAGCCTGACGAAAATGCGGTCTCGCGTCTCTGCATCACATCCTGTCCTGAGGCCTCACCTTGTCCGGAATAGGTCAGGGCAAGAATGCGTGCATCGCATTCAAGTGTAAGCTCGAACCCAAGAGCTTCCACGGCTACTTCATATTCACGGCGAAGTCCAAGGACACTTGCCATCTGAGCGGGGACAAAGTCATCCTCCCCGCAGACCGAGTGTCTCAGCGCCTCGCCGGAGAGGCATGTCGGCCTCGTGCGGCCAAAGGGGCCCGTCACGAGGCCTTCCCAGGGTGCGCCGTGTCGGACGGCGGCTCCGTAGGCTCCTCCTTCGTCTTCGATCTGCGTCTTGGCAAGCGCTCCCTCTCGGAGCTGGCGGACAGCTGCTCCTGCGCCACTCTGACCGCCTCCGCTAGGCTCGCGGATAGCTTCGTCTCTTGAGCTCGCAGGAGCTCTCTTGCCCGAGCTCTTTCTAGCTCGAGTTGCGCAGCATCCGTGATCATGGCATCCACGGCTTCCATCTCGTCGCTGGAATCCCCGATCTCGACCGTCCCTTCCGTACGGCTCGAGGTCTGCTTGGCGAGCTCCTGCGTGGTCTCGTTGAGCTGTGCGGTCCATTTGGCCTCCGCTTCGTCCAAAGAGGCTAGCATGGCCTCTTTCTCCGCCAAGCTCTTTTCCCAGGTGGCGCCCAGCTGCTGCATGTACTGGGCCCACTGAGTCAGGTAGGCCTGCCTCGTCCTGCCCACCTGTTGGAGCTCCGTCTTGGCATTCGCCTGCGAACTCACAAGCTTGTGCAGGACTCTGCTCTCCGCTTTGTGGTCCAGGCTGGTTTGTGCATCCAGTAGCTCGAGTACAGCTTGTGGAAGGTCGTGTCGCGACTGGTTCAAAGCCCCCGAAGGTTCTGCAATAGCTGTGCCTGTGGCCCAACTTCCACGGCCGCTGGCGTAGAGGGCCCAGCTGTTGCGGGTGCCTCCTTGGGCATGTTCACAGGCAGCGCCGCTGGCGCTGTCGGCAGATCTCTCGTGGTTGCGTCGGCACCCTTGGAGGGGCCGCCTTTTGCACCAGAAGGCTGTCCTTTGCCGGCACCCTTGGGCTGTCCCGGCTGTTGATGAGCTCCCCCACCTCGTCGACGCGGTGATTTGGGGGCATTGGAGCGCCGGCGTGGGGACTGGGGTCGCCAGTCCTCTGCACCCGGCCACGGCGCCTGTGAACTCTGCGCATGGTAACTCTCTGCCACACGCTGCCAGTGCTGCCCACATCCAGGGCAGTACGCGAAAGATGCCTTGACTGCTTGTCTGCAGGTAGTACATCGCCACGCGCCGTTGTTGGCCATTGTTGCCAGTAGGGCCCTTGCACGCTGTGGCAGGCCGCTGCGGCTGTGGTGGGTCTCGAGCACTTGGCAAGCCTGGACCAGAGCGATCTGTCCAGGCCTGTACGTTCCCGAGACGAATCCTCGCAGGACTGTCCGGGCAGTTGTCCGTTTCCGCCGTACGCGCCGGTGTCGGGCGCTCTCCCACTGTCTCAGTGAGAGGAAGGCTTTCCAGCGGAGTCTCAGTGCCGCACCCAGTGTAATGACTGCCCAGATAGCAGATCCAGAGAATCCCAATTCTCCAGCTCATGCACAAAAGGCAGAGTATACAATCTCTGAAGGCACAGCCAGGTGCACTAAGGCCCAACCTGACTGTGCCAGTGGATGTAAAATCAAAGGCGTCCCCTCGCCACGCGTACAGGGACGATCCCAGTCTCCAGCCGAATATCGGGGAGAGGGAGGTGTCGAGCGAGCACAAAAGTAGTGCCGCGCTGGGGTCTCCGGCAAAGGCTGTAGCTCCACTACGTGCCTGAGCCGTAACGCCTCGGCCGTGGGAGTTTAGGGTTTAGGTTCAGGGG